ATATATTTCTCCCATTGCTACTCTAATACTCACTTCACCTCATATATTTCTCCCATTGCTACTCTAATACTCACTTCACCTCATATATTTCTCCCATTGCTACTTTGATACTCACTTCACTTCATATATTTCTCCCATTGCTACTCTAATACTTACTTCACCTCATATATTTCTCCCATTGCTACTCTAATACTTACTTCACCTCATATATTTCTCCCATTGCTACTCTAATACTTACTTCACCTACATATTATTATTTCTTATTTTATAGCATAAAAAGCATGTGCCGTTCAAACTCGCGAATTGTATAACTTCACATCTGTAGGGCAGACGTTGAAAGATCGTTCGCTGGATCCCTCGGATCCAACTTCCCAAGTTTGACGGTTGCGATTTGTCCGTTCAACCAAAGCGTCCTAGTCTTTACACGCCCCCTTTTTACTTCCCTCAAGGACAACCGCTTACCAAGCTCGCACGCTGTTCACGCGTTTCTATTTCTCCTGGTTCTCCTCGAGAACCGTCTATGTTACGATACTTTCATGTTCGGCTTATGTTACGCGTGACTTAAGCACAAGGCATGTTATAGTGCTCATTTCTGGGGTTTCATTTTTCAATTTTTTTAGCTTTTCTGCTGCAGGTAAAATATAAATAGTATAAAATTTTGGCTCACAAATTTAACAAAAAAGTTCTGTATTGATTTTGGTATAATAAAATATTTCGACCTATAGTGTGAAATATTTGAGGTTGTTTAACTATTTGACTAATATTCCAAATTTCTATATAAAAAGTATTAATTGTTCAATACAGGGAAGTCTTGTTTAGGAAAATGTGATTATTATATATATAATACAGAGGTAGGATTGTTTGTTTTGAATTTATACACAAAGCAACACAATGGGCTATCTGTGCTCTGCCCACCACGGGTATCGATATCCGGTTTCTAGCGTTGTAAGTCCGCAGACGTACCACTAGGGGGCTAAGGTTAAGTTACTGCCATATGTTTATTACAACGGGTATTTTTAAGCCTTGGTAATAGATTTTTTGGTTCTCTCTTATTACTGAATCTTTAGTGATATGATATTTTGATTAATACATCGACTCCAAAAGCAGGAAGCGCAATCTTAGCGATTTTGTAAACATCTTGGAAAGGGTGTTGTTGTTACTTCCTAGATTAAAAGAAAATCATAGCTGAGATTCCTTATCGAACTCTTATTTGGGAACGTTCATTGGATTATTCACATGTTTTCGCTGTCAGACCTTTTAAAGAGTTTAAAACAGGTACACACTTTATTTCGCATGTTGCATAGCTAGCTTAGTGTTTTGGGTGTACAGTATTGCCAATAATAATACTTTATCTTAACGTTTTGCTGTTAAACTATTAAACGTAGCCAAGTGTTCTTTAAAAGTTTACAATATAGGTTAAATCCATTTTCTATTACAAACTGAAATTGGCCAATTCACTCGACAGTTGCTGTGTGAAAGTGGCATGCCAATTCCCCCGAGCACTAACTTGAAATCATAACGGGTTTATTACTTCATACCCTCTCTACCCAAGACAAAATGCTTTTGTTCATAGTTCATAAAGACTGTTTTTGTTGTTGAAGTACCTGATAAAGAGCAACGAACTTTGTTATAATTAATGCAAATAATTAGTTAATTCTTTGACGTTAGATGGATCATTTGTTAGATAGGCATGTGAATATTTGGGACTACCGAACTTACACATCATCGTGAACCGATCACTAAAAGATTCACGGTCCAATTTTCAAAATGAAATGATTTTCTTTTGAACTGAAGTTCAAGATTTCTGGAATCATTGTTTCGTAGAGGTCAGTCCAGATGTTAGGAAAAAATATCAAACTTCATCACTGTTGAATCCCCAAATGTTTCTAAACGCGCGCGTGCACAGAATAATTATATAGAATCACTGAACAAATATAAAACGTAGTAGGTAACTTATATCTTGAGAGTTAGTAAACATTTGTGTCTACCGTTTGATGTACTAGAGACCGAACGTTTGTATAAGTGTTGAAATAATTGCTAAGAGTATTCATAAGAAATGTTATCCGCTTGATACTTACTCTAAGTCAGTGTTTCCCAAACTATGTTCCGTGTAACGCTGGTGTTCCGTTCGAGATTGATAGGTGCTCTGTGAGAAAATAATG